CCAGGCACCTGCTTTCATCTGTGTGTTCATCGAGGCAGGGCTAAGACAAGGGTAGGAAATACAGTTCTAAAAACCCAAGAGAAACTGAGTATGGTAATCCATGCCTGGAATCCCAGCACGAAGGAGGTTGAGACTTGAGGAGCAGGAGGGCCATCATGGACCGCATAGAAGCACCCTGTGGAGAGAGGTGAACATTCTATACACCACCTTCCTTTATAAACAAGGGAACAGACTTGGAGAGGTTCCTTTATGTTCAAGGCAGCTGGAAATTGGGTTTTCTCCTCTGTTATATAAGGGTAAAATCGCCTCTGCCAAGGTGACCCTTACACTTAAAGGTGGAAGATAGCCTTAAAACTCCACATTACCACTGACACACAGTAGGCACTCAGTCAATGGTTCTTACTGTTCTGAACAGGATGACACGCTCACAAGAGCTGGTAGCTAGTCAGTGGCACAGACATTGGAACCCAGGGCTATCATCCGAAGTGACTAGCCACAAAACAAAACAGAGGCCACAGCGACACCACCAACAATGTCAGTGTTTCCCACTCAAATGCGGTAACCCCAAGGTGGTGTATTGAGCTGTCAGGTGGTTACACCTGCCTGGCACCCAGGGCCAGCTTTCAGCGCAGAGACGGCTATGGGACACAGGGAGGCGGCCTCGCGGCTGTGTGCAGAGTCCGCGCCTGGAAGACATTACACGGCTGTCGGCCGGGGGCGTCGCCGCGAGTTCCGGAGGGGGTCCCGGAGGCGGCCGCGCCGGGGAGGGGACAGCCGGCCACAAAGCGTGCTTTGTTCTTCCCTCCCTCCGGAGCTGGAACCAATGGATTGGCGGCAGCTGAGGTCATCTGCCAGGCAAAGCCGGGGGTCAGGCTCGGGATGGGGCCCCAGGGCAAGAGCCGCCATGGACCCCCATATAGGGCAGAGCAACCAGACAGGTGGCTACTTGTTTTGGAACTCAGTTTCCGATCAGTGCCACAAGGAAAATTATGTCTGTCCGGCCCACCTCTAGGGCTGTCTGCGGGGTTGGGGAAGTAGGCTGCATCCTTTCTTCTTTGGAAGGGGGCAAACCCGGAAGCAGGTGTGGTGGGTATACCCACCACGAAGTTTGGAGGTCTCCCACGTTCCTTTCAGGCCAAGGCAATCATAGCCTCTCCGAGAGTCCTCACTGACCCAGACTCCAGGCCCGGCCTGCTGTCTCCAGCCTTGGCACCTGAGTCTAGGACCCAGTTGAATCCTGGTGCTCTGGGGTCCAGGGTCCCTCCAGGGACCACCCAGGAGGCTATTCTAACTGCAGGGCATTGAGGGTGAGGTGAGCACCCTCTCCTAGCAGCTGGCAACCAGAGTCCGTTCAGTCCCTCCCCCCACCTCTGCAAGGGCAGGTACCTTTCTCTGAGACATGCTGTTAGTGCTCGACACAAAGCCCCTGGAAGCTGTTTGTCAAGCATAGGAAGGCCCAGAAAGTGCCCAAAGTGTATGTATTTTATTTTTTAAATGTTGTGTTTTATTTTTATTATATGTATGTTTGTATGTATGTACACTTGAGTACAGTTACCCTTGGAGCCCAGGCAAGGACATCAGGTCCCCTGGAGTTGGAATTACAGATGGTTGTGAGCTGCCCAGCTTGGGGAAAGGGCTCATAGTTTTCTGTTGTTCTCAACCATGATCATGCTCCAAAAAGGGGCTAGAGTTTGGAAGAAGAGTCCCCAAGCTCTGCCTGGGTAGCATTTGGAACATCTCTGGTCACCAATGAGGAGAAACTAGGCAGAAGGCTATGTGTCACCAGGTTCTTACGTTTCTAGGTGTCCAGTTGGTAGAACACAATAGAGGATGTGGGGATCGCACATTGTACAGGCAGCCAAAGGACTCCCAAGTGTCCGCTAACAGGAGAACGGTTGGTACATCCTTACATTCATAGCCGAACACCAGGCGGTGGTAAAAAAGAATGGCCTCCCTCATGTGGGATGTATTTGCTCTCAAACAGCTGTCTGATGAACACCTACTAAGTGCTAAGCACTGTTCTCAGCGCTGGACTCAGGGTGATAAGCAGGGAAGACCTGCCGTGATTTACTTTCTAGTGGGCAAGGAAGACATCAGTGGAACCACAGAAAGTAATGAAGAAAACAAAATGGAAAGGAAGCAACAGATGGGGGGGGCGGCCTTCAGCACTAGAGGCCACAGAGCAGACACCAGTCTGAGAGTTCTGGAGAGTAGTCCAGCTGCCAGTGGAGGCAGTGGCCAGTGCCAAGAGATGTCAATCTGAAATAGTGTTTTGAAAAGGGGTGGGGTGCTGGAAAGATGGTTCAGAGCACTGGCTGCTCTTTCAGAGGACCAGGGTTCAATTCCCAGCACCTTCCCAGCAGGTCACAACTGTTTCAGAGGGCTGATGCCCCAGGCACTCATGTGAGGCAGACATGCAGGTAGGCAAACACCTATGCACATAAAATAAGCATAAATCTTGGGGCAAGTGGGGATGGAGAGATGGCCCAGGCATTGGAGTGCTTGCTGTGCAAGCGTCAGGACCTGAGTTGGATTCCCCAAGAAGTCATCTAGAGGCTGGGCGTGGCTGTGTGCATCCATAATCCCAGTGCTGGGGAGGTAGAGGCAGGAGATCATTGGCATTTACTGCCCAGCTGGCCTAGTTGAATGGGTGTGGTGATACTTTGTTTATTCTGTAGCAAATAAAGTTTGCCTGAAGATCAGAGTGCACTAGTTAGTGCCACACTAGTTAGCCATAGAGGCCAGGCAATGGTGGCACATACCTTTAATCCCTGCAATTGGGAAACAGAGGCAGACCGATCTCTGTTAGTTCAAGGCCACCCTGGGCTACATGAAATTGATCCAGTCTAAAAGAGAAACAGAACTCACAGAAAGGTGATCCTAGCACTTGGAATCACACGCCTTTAATCCCAGCACTAAGGAGGTGGAGACAGGAGTGATACATCTGGGCGGAGAGGAAACAGGAGCTCAGTGCGGTATGAGCAGTGGCAGTCTGAGGCAGTCTGAGGATGCAGTCTGAGGACAGGATTGCCCCTTTGGTCTGAGCATTGGTCAAGGTAAGAACTCTAGTGCCGGCTGCTCTGATTCTCTGATCCTTCAGCTTTCACCCCCTGATAACTGACTCTGAGTTTTTATTAGTAAGAGCAATTAGAATTTGTACTACAAATGAGTGAGTGAGCTCCAGCCAGGTTCAAGGAAAGACTGTACTGGGACAGCATTTGAACAATTACATGGTGAGACTTGGTCTCAAAAAATAAGGTGGAAGGGGCTGGAGAAAAGGCTCAGCCCTGAAATACTGCTCTTGCAGAGGACCAGAGTTCAATTCCCCCCATCCACATTAGGATGATGCTAGGTCCTGGGGGATGGGATCTGCAGGCGCCCACATTCACATGCACAAACAGATACACATACACATACTTTAAAATAATGAAAAAAAAACCTTAAACAAGCAAAACCCCCAGAGAGTAACTGAGGAAGATACCTAACATTGACCTCTGGCCTCACACTACACACACACACACACACACACACACACACACACACACACGCACGCACGCACGCACGCACGCACGCACGCACGCACACAGCACAAAAATGTTCTAGACATGCAGGGTTGTATAAAAATTTGTTCTGCAGTCCAGCAGACTTCAGGAAGGATATGTGCTAAAACTCATTGCAATAAAAGTCCAAAGAGACAGCCAGATGTAGGACCCAGGATGGACTTCAGCCTGCTCCTAGTGTTTTAACCAAACATATTTAGTTATTTAAGTTTTTAATATTTTTAGGACTATTTGAGACAGTCTCAGGATGTAACCTAGGCTTACCCTAAACTTGTAATACTCCTACCTCACCCTCCAAGGTGCTGGGATTACAGCATGCACCCATTATTAATGTCTAATCTTAGAAATTAAAATCTAAACCTATCATGGAGGGGTTGGTTCCAGGGCCTTAAGGAGCCTCAAGGACCCCTACACACTGCCTTTTTTAAGGCAGGGGAAGGGACACGTGATATCAGAGAATCCAGAAGAAGCTCATCGCGCGACTTGGAGGGGCTCAGAGCTTCTTGGAGGTGCCCCCTCTGTAGAGGAACCCAACACCCCTAAGGTACAAGTATAGGACAGGCAGGATGAGCAGCACCTGAGGGCCCCACCCAGGCCTCATTTGGTCACAACAATCCCTCCCTCACCCATGCTCTCCAACCCAGTGCCTTCCCCAAGACTGCAGCTCTCTTCTAGGGATGGGACAGCAGCGCCACTTGCTGGTGAAGAATGGAAATGCAGCCCAGTACCAATTGACAGTCACACTGCCCCGTCTCCCTGTCCTGCCTCTCTCTCTGATGGAACCAGTATGCTAGCTAAAGCCTTTACTGCCAAGCTACATTCCCTACGCCTTTCTATTCTCATGTGGAGGCAGGGTTTTACTAAATTGTTCAGGGTGGTCTGGACGACACTATGCTGCCCCCAGGGTCTGGATCCTGAACTTGTTATCTGGTCTCAGCCTTTCCAGTGCATGGGCCATGCTTGGCTCCCAGCTCTTTTCTTGAATGCCCAATGGCTCCACCTGTCCCCTTGCTCCTGGTGGGGCCTGCTGGTTGGGTTCCTCCAAACGGAGTCTGTTCCTGCAGTACTGAGTGCATGTAGTTATCTCAGCCCAGCAGGGCATCCTCTGCTTTCCTGGCCCTGCTCACAAAGTTAGGGCTGCAGAGCTCCTCTGACCACTTGGAGAATCATGCACGCCTCCACCCTCCTGCCAGGAGTGGGAAGTACCTGCTTAAGCTGCCCCAGAGCCCAAGGACCCAGCACAAAAAGCAAGCTCTGTCATCTGGTTACCTGGCTTCATCCCCTTAGCAGTAGCTGCTCCTGAGAACCTTCTAGAGATATGTTCCTGGCCCCCAGCTGTTTCTGAGAACTGTCTAGAAATGCATGTTCCTGGGCCCCAGACTGGGGACAAGGCCCATCAAACCCAACCAAAAATGCTGGACTAAAGCCATTACATTGTTGTGGGTTTTTTTAATTAAACTTTTATTTTGGAATGACTTTAGATTTACAGAAAAGTTGCAGAGACTAAAGAGTTCCCATATATTCTTCACCCAGCCCACCCCAGCAGTTTGATCGCCCAAACTGGAGGATAACTAAAACCCAGACTGAGTAAGTTCCTGGTTGACCTGCTAATGCTCCCTCATCCCTTTTTGGTCCCAAGATTCAATTCAAGTACCATGTCACATTTTATCCCTTTCAATTTCATTTGCTGGGACACTCAGTGGGTGAGAAAGCTGTTGACCTCACTGTTGAGCTGGGAAAACAGAAAGTGACAAGTGACAGCTTTCTGGGCAAGGCAGCAGCAAGTGCCACCTGACTCTGCTGCTTCTGCTGCCTCTCCTCAGCCTCCAGGACTCTTGGTTTGCAGAAGCCCTTCTGGAAGGTCCCATTGTCCACCCCATGCTGCTAGTGAGTCATCCTTGAGGGTGAGGTACCCAGCTCTTGGAGACGCCATGCCACGACTACTTCTAGGTCCCAAAATCAGTAACTTAAAGGTTAAGACTTGGCAAGACCTTCTGTTTGAGGAGTGTGTGTGTGTGAACAAGAAATGCTGTCACTTGCCCACCAAGATTTGTCTGTGCTGAATGAACAACAGCCCCATGTTTTTTATAGTTCCTCCCGTTGAGAGCTGGGGCCCATCTGTACCCCTTGAATCTGAGGAATGAACTCAGCAGCAATGACATTGTCCTGGCACAAGGGCTGAGGAAATCTTGTCACCTTAAACAAAACAAAGCGAAAACTATGTATGTGGGTGCTTTGCTTGCAAGTGTGTATGTCTGTGTACCATGTGTTTGGTGCCCACAGAGGCCAGAAGAGGATGCCATGACAACTGGAACTGGGATCACAGTCGTGAGTTACCATGTCGGTGCTCTTAGCAGGGATCCACTGCTCTGGTACCTGTCTTGTCACTATTACTCTCATTCTTGGAACTCTGAATAAGAATAAGCCTGAGCTGACCCGCTAGAGAGGCAACAAGGATGACCAAGCCGGTCCAGCCAACATATGCCACAAGAATAAGTAATGATCCCAGCCCAGCCAGTCCCAGCTGAGGTGACAGCTGCCGGTAGGCTCATGAGGAGGACCAGGCCATACCATCAGAGCTATCCAAGTGCTCACCACAGAGTCATGGGTAAATGAATACTTGCTTTAGCTGTTAAGTCTGGGAATGGCTTGTTTCATAGCAATGGGGCTCACTAATACACACTTCTTCCTCTCCTGCTAATGAGACCCCAGTTTAATTGCAGGAGGCACAGTGCCGAATCCAAGGGATGAACAAGGCAGTCACGCTCAGCTGTGACAGTGTTCCCTTTGCAACTATGGGTGGCACTGGTGGCTAGCTTTGACCAAGGAGACCGTGCAGATACTCTGAATGAGGGTTTCCTTTCTGATAGAAGTTAGTCCAGTGGGTTTCTTCCTTGATTCCTAGAGATCTTGTGACCATGATGTAAGGAGGGCAAGGCCAAAGGGTTGCCTAGAGGAGGCCCCACCTTCCCTGAGCAGTTGACACAATACTGTGTGAGTCATCTGTTCCAGGATTCAGGCTATGGGGGAAACAAGCCTCTCTCACTGAAACCATGGTGACCTAAGGTTTCCCCTACTTCCTAGTACCTAGTTCATGTAGTGATAGGCTATCACAGAGATCAAAGCGGAGGGCGTCCTTGTCCCCATGCCCATCTCCTTTCTCACTTCCTCCTCTCGGTGCGCCTTGAGGGTCAAGGCCATGAGATCTTTTCCCAGACAGGGGAGCTGGGCCCCCTCGTTCCTGGGCCTGTGGGTTAGTACAGAGGCACCGTGAGGCAGACCTCTCTCCTCGGGTATAAAGAGAACATATCCCTGCTACAGCTTCCAGCCACTGGGGGCCACGTGTGTCTTCTGGGCTCTGGAAGGTGGTGCTGGTGTGCAGGGGGCAGGGTGACCCGGAGGTTCCTACTGCAAGTCTGGTGTGGACGCACCCAGGTACACCCTCAGGTCTGAAAGGGTGGACTGCACGAGCTTGGCAGGGATGGTCTCTCTCTGGAGCTGCTGGTAGGCGGCGAAGCGGTGGCAGCCCCCGAAGGAGTAGTAGTAGTCACCACCCTGGGCCCCTTTGATCCAGAGGACATCGATGGGGGGTACCCTGTCAGGGTCCTCCTAGGGAGAAAGGTCACAGGGTGAGTGAGCATGGCACTATGCTTGAGAGCTGGCAAAATGTTTTGTTAAGCCAAGCGGAGTGACTATAAAGGGCTCGGGCTGGCAGGAGCAGCAGGCGCTCGCCACCTAGGGGCTCTGCAAGCTGGCGGGGAGGTGTCCTGGCAGCTTGAAAATCAGCCCCAAGACAATTATTTCCAGCAGAGCAATTGCAGACGCTGCAAGTGAGGGCTTCCCCCAAACACTAGGCGCGGAGTATTTATCCATGTGAACGATATACTCTGTGCCCACTTAGTCCACACTTAGGAGACACAGCACACCCAGGAGGCAAGGACAGTCTCACCCTGACAGAGTTTCTGTCCCAGGAACAGACTAAGAGAGGACGTGAATAGTGGAGTGATAAATGCTATGAAGACAGTCTCACAGATGACGAGCCAGGAAAGAAGGAGCCACAGGTCTCTCTGAAGTGACAAGGGGCACAGAACCACTTGGGAGGCTACAGAAGCTACAGATATGGGCTAGTTTAGGTTAAGAGCCCAAATGCATGGCTCCTCTGCAGAACAGCTAGGGACCTGTGCTGGACAGGCAGCCCCTATGTTTAACAAGCAGGGTGGTGGGTGAAGCAGGGACGACTCCCTGGGGTGGGGAGGTGGCCCTGGACAGCTGCATTTGGCAGGCCTTGTGTTGAAGGTATGAGAGTGGGTAGGTTTAAGAATGGTCCCTCTGGGGAGCTGGAGAGATGGCTCAGTGGTTAAGAACACTGGCTGCTCCCTCTTCCAGAGGTCCTGAGTTCAATTCCAAGCAACCCTATGGTGGCTCACAACCATCTGTAATGAGATCTGGCACCCTCTTCTGGCCTGCAGGGTTATATGCATACAAAATACTGTACACACAATAAATAAATAAATAAATAAATAAATAAATAGATGTTCCTCTGAATACCCATTTCCTAATCTTTAGGACCTGTGAAACCCACCTTACATAGTGGAAATCTGCTGATAGGAGTGGCCTTTAAGGCTTCTGAAATTGATAGATTGTCCTGGGTTGCCCAGGTAAGCTGATGTAATCACCAGGTTCTTTGAAAGCAGAAGGCTGTGGCAAAAGAGGTCACAGTGACCTGAAATGGGAACCAGCAGTTGCTATTTTGAAGATGAGGGAGAGGCCATCAGCTAAAGGGTTCAACCTTCAACTTGATGAAATCCAGAACCGCTTTGGAGTTGGGTCTCTCTGGGCATGCCTGGGGGTTTAAGGTGGTTAGGTTAACTGGATGGGAAGCTCCACCCACTGTAGGTGGTATCATTCCCTAGGCTGGGATCCTGTACTGTATAAAGAGAAGACAGTGAACAATGCTCAAGTGGTTTTTCACCATTCTGACTGGAGATACAATGTGACCAGTGGCTTCAAACCCGGGCCACCATGACTTCCCTGATGTGATAGACTGTAACCTGGAACTGTGAGTCGAGGTAAACCTTGTCACCCTTAAGTTGCATTTGGTGTTTTGTCCCAGCAAAGGGAAAAGTAACTGAGACTTCAGGAAATGCATTTTCCCTTAAGACCTTGAGAAAACAGACCCGCTGGCTCCTTATTTTAGCTCAATAAACCACACTTGGAGCTGGGTCTGGTGAGGGGCACCTGTAATCCCATCACCGGAGAGACCCAAACAGAAGGTTTCAGACCAGCATAGGCTATGTAGAGACATACCCTGCTTTTAAAGCAGCAAAAACCCCACAGCTTTGGACTCGTGTCTTTTTTAAGCCATGTTTGTGACAACATGTTTAGGTGGCCAAGGCAGACAGGTCCTTGTCTCCACAAGAGCCTGTGGCTCCAGCATGGGACAGAGGTAGCTAAACTAACTGGTCATTTAAACCCATCAGGATCCCAGCTGTGCTAAGGGACACTCAGGTGGCTGTGAGTCACAGAAGGCCTAGCAACAAAGAGATAAAAACGTGGGCTGCAGGGCATTGGTGGTGTTCCTGATGAACGAACGTGCAACCCCCAGCATCGTGTACACACAAAAACTAAAACAGTGCCAAAAAGGAGGGGGTGGGAGCGCTTCCTGGGGCGAGGTTAGGCTATGCAAAGGCCCAGCAGCACTCAGAGAGCATTGGGGCTAAGTCCCCTTCCCACAGTCAGCTTGAAGGCAACCGCAAGGTGGCAAAACTCCTGCTTTTTTGAAATTCACACAGGAAGACAGGGGTGCAAATTTTAAGACTAAACATCCTCAGGACTTTAGGTGTTCCAGGGCCCACTGCTCAAGAATCTGGAAGAATCTTGACCTGACACAAATGTCCTAGCTTCTGCGGGGACTCTCTCTCCATGATGGATTGACCTGGAGCCTCTCCTACTTCCCAACATACATGACACACCCAGGCCACTGCCATGACTGTCATGACCGGAGGAGACATCAGGATACCCAGGTTGTCTGGGTGTAAAGTTTCATTGTATCATCTAGTGAGCTTAGGGTAAGTTGCTTTAAAAAACAGAATAGAACAACAACAACAAAAAATCCAAACTTCCTGTGCCTCAGTTTCTCCTTCGTGCAGGAGGACCGGCAGTTACTTCACAGAGCTGATCAGAGAAGCTGAAATCAGCTCCGGGGCGACCGCAGCACTTTGAGTATGTGCGTCACGGATCATTACTTTCATGGTCAAGTCCAAGTGAGGGACCTGAGGCCCGGGGAGGCTCCGCCAGCCCGTCAAGGTCACACAGGCTAAGTTGAGCTCCTGCAGATCCTGGACCCCGACCCTCGCGCCCTCTCTGTCTCGCGCGGGCTGGTAGGCTCCGCGGGCTCACCAGGATCGTGTCCACGAGGCTCTGCACCTTGGCCGGGTCCAGCACGGATGGCAGCGGCCGGATGAGCACGCTCATTGGCACGTTGTGCACCGCGGCGATGCAGCCCGAGTGGATGCTGCCTCCCTGAGCGCCGCCGGGTTCCTGTCCCTCCGGCGCCCCCGACCCCGTGCCCACCCGCCGGAGCGCTCCACCCGCGCGCAGCCCCATACCGCCTCCTTGGCCGCCAGCACCGCCGGCCTGCTTTACCCAGCCGGGCTGTACCATCGCGCAGCCGCAGGGGCGACGGCGCTGTGCTTTTCCGGTCCGAGTGGCTCGGCCCGCGAGGTGATCGTACCCGCCCCCGCGCCTCCCGGCAGGAGCCGGGTGTCCCACGTCGACCCATCTACCGGCTGCCTGCAGCTGCGGCGCCCCGCCACCCCCTCACGACACAGCAGTGGACGCGTCCGGCCGCTGACTCAGGGTGAGTCTGCAAGTCGCGGAGCAAAGTCGCGAGTGACGCACAGAGCGGTGACTCAGGCTCTGAGAGGCGAGGACGCGGGCGGTCAGACCTGCCCAGCAAGGATGAGCTGGCTCTCAGTGGGAGCTGGGAACAGTGGCCCCCACAGGGTAAAGCAGGAATGTGGTGTCCTCACACTTCAGAGCCACCCTGCTAGCTGGGAACAATGTCAATCCCATTTTACAGAGGAGGAAACTGAGGCACAGAGAAGTTATGTCATCAGCCTCCCCAACACACACACACACACACACACACACACACACACACACACACACACGTTTGGAGCCAATGAGTGGGTGAGGCCCAAATCCGGGCAACGTTGCCCAATGGATCTCTCTGGATTCCACTGCGGGTTCCTCTGGGCTCAGCGACAAGAACTAGCCACGGCGGCTTCTGGAGTTGTGTTGATTCTGTATGTTCTTCCATGAAATTCTACGTGTCGCATATCCTCAAACTATATCCAGGAAGTAGAAGTGGGTGTGGTTCCTGGAGGACCTCCCCAAAGTAGGCCCTCTGGAGGTGGGGGAGCGAGGAAAAGGGATCAAAGTCAGGTTACCCGTAGCAGCAAGCGTGCAGCCAGCTGTGGCGGGGTGTCAACCGAACAGCTGCACACGCCCTTTCCTGAGGCTTGCACGACCTCCTGGCTGGCGCGTGGTGTCCGACGATGAGTTTCCCTGGAAAGGCTGGGCCTATTCCAGGCCAGCCTGGACTCGGCACAGGACCGACTCTGTGATGTTCTATTCGGGAAGCTGATACTAGTTTTCCCAGGCCCAAGGGAAGGGGACAGTAAAGTTCTGGAAGGGCTTGGGACCTGTGGTAACCGCTGTTAGGAGATGGAGCTGCGGATGGAGGTGGTGACCCCGGTAGGTGCTAGCGAAAGGAGTTGCCAAGGCAGACTCGGCTAACAGGGGGTGCGGGTGGAGGGGGAGTGGGGGGATGTTCCTGCTGAGAACTCTGCATCACTCTAGGCACGGAGACCCCGCCGCCTGCTCTTTCCTGGGCAAGTGTAGGTGCTGAGCTAGCCTTACCTGGTTACCCTGCTTCTGAGTGGAGCAGGCATCTTAGGGGCTCAGGAGCACACAGCTGTCTGCCTAGGTTGACCTGAGCGGTGGTCAAGCTGTCTGGCTGGAGTAGGAAGTGCCAAGTAAAGTTCCGGGGGGAGGCAGCCATCTTCACGGAACATTATAGGATGATGGACTGATCAAAACTTTGTGATTGTGGAGAGTGTTGCCTGTCCAGAGGCAAATATCCTACACTACCCTTAATCGTCCCCAGTAGCTGTTTATTGACTTCCTGTGACTATGATGTGAACCCTTTTAGGATACACTGATAGACAACTAGCTGACACAAACCCACACGTTCAGGATGTCACATCAGAGGTACAGACCTGACCCTGATGTTATAACTCACTTCCTCGGATGTATATGGTTTAAGCCATTGGCTGACTTAAAAACTTTTTGTTTATTTCATGTTGGTGTCTGCAGAGACCAGAAGAGGGCATCGGATCCCTAGGGACTGGGAGGTAACAGATGGTTGTGAGCCTTTCATAGATGCAGGAATTGAACCCGGGTCCTCTGGAAGAACAGTCAGTGCTCTTAACTGCTGAGCCATCTCTCCAGCCCCTCCATGGATGTATTTTAAATGTGTTGATTTACCTACCTTCTTTGTTCTCTTTCTGCTAATGGTTCGTAAAACTGTTATCATGCTGGAACGTGGACTTTGAGGTGACCTAAATACTCCAGAATACACTCTTACCCCTGGGGGTGAGAGCTGTGGTTTTTATGTTGCCGTAGGCTTTTGCTCCCCGATTCCTTCTGCTCCCCCCTCAGCTGATAGACTTGGAGGTGATGCAGACAGAGAATCCTATTGTGAGACATTTGGACATACAGGTGACTTTCCCCAAGTGTTCGGAAGGGGGAAGGATTATGGAGTCCTTCAGTTTGAAGCCCCTCCCCAACCTGCTTGGCCATTTCTCCAGCTTAGGCGTCAGGGCTGGCTGTCCATGCTGTCTCCGCCTCAGCCTCTTGGTTCCTGTTTTATTTCACATAGAAGGGCACCTCATTCTTCGGTGTCTACTGGCATTTCTTTGGGGGGTGCACAGGCAGCTTTGCACTATGTCTGCTTCTCACAGTCTCAAGATAGCTTCCAGTGAGAAGTCTGTCTTCCCTCTGTTCACACCCAGGAGAGAGAGGGAGAGACTACACCAGCAGTGGTGACATCAAGTGCTTTCTCTAGTCGGTCTGATTGGGCTAGCTTGAGTCACCCAGGATGACTGGCATTCTCCAGGGATATGATATGCACTGAGCTGTTTAAGCATGGAGTCAGGCACCAAAGGGGGATGGATGACTGTGATGAGTTTAGAGGGGACAATCAGCCGCCCCCCTGGGTACAGCCTCTTCTGAGTCACCTGTGTGTGGGTTAGATGGGTGGGCATGAGGACAGTGGGTGAGACATGGATGTCGACAAGAGAAAGATGCAGCAGAGGCCTGGGCGTCAGTGCCCTGTCCCTTTAGCCCCCTCTGATGTTAGCTGCAGTTGTGCCAGAAAGTTCTGCAGCAGATGACTCACTCAGCACCCCCAGCCCTTAACCCAGGTGCTCTGAACTCCCACGTCCATCTCTGCCCACACGTAGCACATGCCAGTGGTGTCATATTTACTGTGGGAGTAGAACACGCCAGTCTTCCACCAACACAGGTTGGCAGTGTTGATCATTTGGATCTTTCTGGACTGTTCTCAGAGATGAGCGGTAACTGGCCTGTTGCTCTAGCAGGGGCTTCTCAGATACATGACTCATTCTTCCTGTTGCTCACTCTGTCACTTGGACCCCCACTTAGCTTGCACAAGGGCCTGGATCCTCTGCCTTTGTCAGTGGGAAACTAAAACTTCAGCTAAGAGGACCATGCATTGTCATACCCTATAATTTATATACTGCCTGGTTTAAAATTACACAGTATGAGCTGTGTGGTCTGCAGACAGTCACCATTTGTTCCTCAGTTTCTTAATCTGCAAAATGGACAGTAGTAGTATCAACCTGTGGGATTATTGGGAGATAATAAGAGAAATGTTAGGTAATATTGCCAGACATTGTCCAACACCTTGTAAGGGCTCAGCTCAGTATATATATGGTTTTTGAGACAGGGTTTCTCTGTGGCTTTGGAGGCTGTCCTGGAACTCACTCTGTAGACCAGGCTGGTCTCAAACTCACAGAGATCTGCCTGCCTCTGTGTCAGGGGCCTCTGGCCATCAACCAGATACTGCTGCCTCATGTACTCATAAGAAAAGACGTGACTCAACCCTCATAGAGAGTACATGACTTTGGACCACCCTGCTACCTCTGCCAAATTCCACAAACAGACCTGTGGCTTATCTGCCTAGTCTAGGCATAGGCTTGTGCGATAGAAGGAAGAATGTGAGGGTTAGAATCTGCAGTTAGGTTACCAGAGGACACAGGATGCCCTACCCATCCCACTGACCTTCGCTCCGCCAGGCTCATTGAAGCTGCAGCACACGCCCATTCCTTCCCCTCCTCCCTTCCCTCATATAAATGCCTTTGGGACGAAATAAAGTTGTCACCTTGATCAGAATCCTGTCTTGGCGTCCATTCTTTTGTATCTCCTGCCCTCATCCTTCCCCTGGGTACCCTCCAGCCCCACGTTGAATGTCCCACGGTTCGGGCCACCTCTGCCTCCCAAGTGCTGGGATTAAAGGCGTGTGTCACCACCGTCTGGCAGGGCTCACTAAATATTGCATTTTATATTAATAACTTAAAGTTCTGTTCAGTTCTGCATTTGCATGCCATGTCTTAGGCCAGACTCCCTATTTGGTTTTCAAAACAGGGTCTTGCTAGAAGGTCTTACTATTGAGAACCTCCTGCTTTAGCCTCCTGAATAGAGGGATTACAGGTGTGCACTGCTAGCCTAGGCTTAGTCTGGACTCTCATTTGCAAGTGGCACAAAGCTGGCCACTTGGCGCATCAGTATAATGAACCCAGGGGTATGTGGTCACTTCCCTGACCGTGGGTGAGGCTGAACCTCCCTTCCTCACTCAGGGGAGGTACTTGCTCTCTGTGGCAAGAACAAGGCTGCCCACAGTGATGGTGTTTGGCATCTTATAAAAGAGACCTAGTCATAGAGGCTGCTGTCTTCCCTCACAGAAGGAGAAGCAAGAGGAAAAGGAGTCGTCATCATCATCTAGAAGTCAGAAGTCCAGGACTGGGATGGCTGCTCTAGGGTTGCTAAGTGGGCACAGGCCTATCTTTCTGCTCTGCAATTTTGTCTTACCGTTTAGTTTTGGAGCAAGGTCTAACTACATGGTCCTTGCTGACCTAGAACTTGTATGATTCTCCTACCCCTGCTAGGATTATAGGTGTGTGCCCCTGTGCCCAGGTCTGCTTCATTGTCTTAAGGAAAGGTTTTAAATTCTCTAGGTCACCTCTTGGTTTAGTGTTGCTGCTGAAGTGTCAGCCATCTCGTGTGAGTTTGAGCCTGTAAGGAGGTGGAAAGTGTGAAAAGTAATGGCTATGACCATCCCTTACTTGGATGCTGTTCCAAAAGTTCCACGCAATACCTTCCCTTGGGTATCTACAACTTGATCACCCTGACTGCTAGGGCAGCTGGGAAATGTAGTCTTCATTCATGATGTCACTCTGCTGAGCGGCAGTGGGAGTTCTCTCACTAAGCAAGGAGTGAATAGATGACAGTAAGTAGCCAGAAATCTGAGTCATAGCTTCTAAGTCACAAGTCTCTTGGCATAGAGAGGGAGGGAGAGGACACTTTCAGGTTCTACTTAAATGCCTGCATCTGAAGAAAAAAAAAAAAGAAAATCAGCTACTCTTTTTTTTTTTTTAATTTCCTTATTTATTTAGTACAGGGTTTGCCTGCACACCAGAAGA